TTTGCTGTTGACTACAGGCGACAAAAAGAAATTTATTTTTAATTCATTCATAGGATATGGGCATCACAGGCCAGGCCAGCATTTATTGCCATCCCTAATTGCCCAGAGGGCAGTTAAGAGTCAACTGCATTGCCGTGGTTCTGGAGTCACATGTAGGCCAGACCAGGTAAGGATGGCAGATTTCCTTCCCTAAACGTCATTAGGGAACCAGATGGGATTTTCTCTTAACAATTGGGTCATCATTAGATTTTTAATTCCCGTCATTTATTGAATTCAAATTCCATATCTGCCATGGTGGATTTGAACCCAGGTCCCCAGAATACCTCCTGGGCTTCTTGATTAATAGTGTAGTTACAATACCACTAGGCATAAGCTAATGGTACAAAACTAGCTGAAGATGAGTGCTGTGAGAAGGATGAAAAGTTACTTCAAGGGGATCTGGTAAAGTCACGATAGCCCTAAGGCAGCTCTGTCATTAGAGAGAAACAGCTAGTGGTGGTGGTTTAACTTAAGGGTCACAACACCTCAGGAGAGGAGCAAAGTTGGGAAGGCAATCTTAACCAGTACAGGAATTGAACTAACACTGTTAGCAGTGCTCCTCATCACAAGCTAGTCATCCAACCAGCTGAGCTAACCAACCCAGTGAGGCTAGCCAGATCAACAAAGGTTTGGCAAATCGATTCCAATGTAAAGGAATGGAAAGTTATTCACTTTGGTAAGTATTTACCACAAAGTATTTCCTAAATGGTGAGAGGCTGGAAGTGTTGATGTGACATGAGCATCCTTCTTTGTCAGCCACTGAAAGTTAACATGCGGGTAACCTTTATAAAATTCGTTCATGGGCTCTGGGCAATGCTGGCTGGGCCAGCATTTATTGCCTGTCCCTAATTTGCCCAGAAGGCCCCTCAGATGTAAGCCATTAAAATAATATGTTGGCTTTTGTTACAAAGGAAATCGAGTGTAACAGTAAAGATGCTTTACTGCAATTATAGGAGTACCGCTGAGACTGCACGTAGTGTACAATGTGCAGCGCAAGTTTCTTCATCCAGGGAGAGACATACCTGCCATACAGGGAGTGTAACAAAGGTTCAACAAACCAAGTCCTGGGAATGGATGGATTGTTTTACGAGGCAAGGTTAAATAGGCTGGACCTATGTTCTAGGGCTTGCGGCATGGTGGCTCAGTGGTTAGCACTGCTGCCTCAGGGTGCCAGGTAGCTGGGTTCAATTCCACCCTCAGGCGACTGTCTGTGTGGAGTTTGCACATTTTCCCCGTGTCTGCGTGGGTTTCCTCCGGGTGCTCCGGTTTCGTCCCACAGTCCAAAGATGTGCAGGTTAGGGTGGATTGGTCATGCTAAATCGCCCGCAGTATCCAGGGATGTGTAGGTTAAGTGGGTTATAGGGGGATGGGTCTGGGTGAGATGTTCCGAGGGTCGGTGTGGGCTTGTTGGGCTGAAGGGCCTGTTTCCGCACTGTAGGGATTCTAGAAGAATGAGAGGTGATCACAGTCAAACACGCAACATTCTTACAAGCATCGACAGGTTAGATGCAGGAAAGATATTTGCCTTGGTTGGGTAGTCTAAAACTAGGCAACACACCTGGGCAATAATAAAATAAAGGACAAATCATTCAGGACTCAGGTGAGGAGGAATTTCTTCGCTCAGAGTGTGGCGATAGGGTTAGAGTTAGAGTTAGAGTTAGGGTTACAGCTAGGGAGAGAGCTAGAGTTAGATTTCAGGTGAGGGCTAGCGTTACTGTTAGGGTCACAGTCACGGTTAGGGTTAGGGTTACAGTGAGGAGTAAGGCTACTGTTAGGTCTAGGATTACAGTTAGCATTAGTGTACAGTAACAGTTAGGGTTAGGGCTTGGGTTACAGTTAGGGTGAGGAGTAAGGTTACTGTTAGGGTTAAGGTTAGTGTTGGTGTTAGGGTTATGTTTAGGTATAGGATTATGGTTCAGGTGAGGGTTAGGGTGAAGATTACAGTTACAGTTAGTGCTCAGGTTCCGGTTAGAGTTACGGTTACGACTAGGGCTAGGGTTAAGGTTAAAATTAAGATTAGAGATGGGGTTATGGTTAGGGTTAGATTTAGGGTTATAGTTACGTTTATGGTTAGGGCTAGGGTTAGGATTATGGTTAATGTTAGGATTATGGTTAATGTTAGGGTTAGGGTTAGGGTTAGGGTTAGAGTTAAGGTTAGGGTTACGGTTAGGGTTACAGTTAGGGTTAGAGTTAGGGTTAGGGTTAGGATTAAGGTTAGTGTGAGGGTTAGGATTAGGGTTAAGGTTAGGGTGAGGGTTCTGGTTTGGGTGACGGTTAGGACTAGGCTTTCTCTGCTCCGGAAGACTGTGGGACATTTAGTCATTGAGTACAATGAAGACTAACATTGCTGGGTACCTAGATATTTAAAATATCAAGGAAAGCAGTGGGGATAATGCAGGAAAGTGGTGTTGCGGTAGAAGATTAGCCAATATCCCGTTGACTATCAGAGTGGTCTCATGAGGCTGAATGATCTCCTCCTGCTCCTATTCCTTATGTTTTCATGAGGAATACACTCCGAACAAATTGCATTTGGGTTGTAGCCCACATGAAGGATGTCATTGATTAAACGCATTAATGATCTTATTGTCACGTGTATTTTATTGCAAAATACAACAAAAAGCTTCCACTGTCCCCATGGACAGTTTAAGAATAGTTTAAGAATAATAAACAATATAAAAAGACTGGTGAATAGAAATATAAATGGAGAGAGACATAATACGGAATCAACCATTGCCCAAAATCTAAGCGAAGCCCAATACACCCACTCCCTACAATACCGCGACAAGGGTATAGAAACAGATAGCTTTCAACCATTTGTAAGATAACATTGACTGAGCATTTGATAACATTTCCCGAGACATGCCCACCTCTGCCTTTCTCAAGCTCGGCCCCAAGGCTGGGTTTGTAAATGGTCACCCAATGAAGGCCAGTCAACTGGAGAAAGCCAATCAGAGTGGGAGCCTGCCTCTGACGCCGGGAATCTGGGACTTTTTTGGGTCAATTGCTTCTTTTGTCCAGCTAGGTTCCATGCCGCTAATCACATTTGTGAGATTGGAAATAATATGTGTTTTTCTTTGGTGCTCAAGTCAACCTGAAACTATGAGCCCTTGGGCGGGTGTCAGGCATTCTCCTGTAAGATATGCGTGTTTTTGATGTTTGAATGCATTCTCTTCTTCGTGCAGAACTCAGTGCCTACTGCAACAACAATAACTTGCATTTATATAGTACCTTTAACATCGTAAAGCATCTCAAAGTGCCATAATCAGACAAAATTTGGCTAAAGAGAGGTGAAGAGAAGGGAAGTTTTAGGGAAGGAATTTCAGATCCTGGGCTTCAGGCAGCTAAATAAAATCAGGAAATTTTTTTAAAAAATTTATTCACAGGATGAGGGCATTGCTGGCCAGGCCAGCATTTATTGTCCATTCCTAATTGCCCAAAGGGCAGTTAAGAGTCAACCACGTTCCTGTGGGTCTGGAGTCACATATAGGCCAGACCAGATAAGGACAGCAGTTTCCTTCCTTAAAGTGCACCAGTGAACCAGATGGGTTTTTCTCACAATCACTAATGGATTTATGGTCATCATTAGACGTTTAATTCCAGATTTTCTAAAAATTCAATTCAAATTCCATTTCAGGGAAGGAAACTGCCATCCTTACCTGGTCTGGCCTACATGTGACTCCAGACTCACAGCAATGTGGTTGACTCTGAACTGCCCTCTGGGCAATTAGGGATGGGCAATAAATGCTGCCTAGCCAGCAACACCCTCATCCCGTTAATGAATAAAGGATCTGCTGTAGTGGGATTTTAACCCAGGTGCCCAGAACAGTGCTCTGAGGAAAGGTCACCGGACCTGAAATGTTAACTCTGAATTTTTCTTCACAAATGCTGCCAGACCTGCTGAGCTTTTCCAGCAACTTTGTTTTTTTTCCTAGAATATTATCTGGCTTTCTGGATTAACAGCGCAGTGATAATACCATTAGACCATCACATCCCCTAAGGCAAGAATTGGAGAAGCACAAAAGTTATGAAGTGTTGCAGGGTCAGACGACATGATAGAGATAGAGAGGATTGTTTTTTTAAAAAAAATCAAGGCACTGGGGTTCAGTGTAGATTGGGGGTGATAAGGCAGTGGGAATGAGATGGTGTGAGTTAGGATTTGAGCAGTAGAGCTGTAGGTGTGTTCAGTGCCACAACGATGCCACCCGAAGGTTGCAGGAACAGCAACTCATATTCCGCTTGGGAACCCTGCAGCCCAATGGTATCAATGTGGACTTCACAAGCTTCAAAATCTCCCCTCCCCCTACCGCATCCCAAAACCAGCCCAGCTCGTCCCCGCCTCCTTGACCTGTCCGTCTTTACTCCCACCTATCCCCTCCTCCCACCTCATTGACAAACCCCCACCCGCACTTCCTACCTACTAGCCTCATCCCCGCCTCCTTGACCTGTCCGTCTTCCCTCCCACCTACCCACCCCTCCCTCCCAACTGACCAACCCCCATCCCAACTCCCTACCTACACTCACCTTCACTGGCTCCATCCGCGCCTCCTTGACCTGTCCGTCTTCTCTCCACCTATCTGCTCCACTATCCACCTTCCATCCGCTTCGCCCCCTGTCTATTTATTTCTGAGCCCCCTTCCCCTCCCCCATTTCTGAAGAAGGGTCTAGGCCCGAAACGTCAGCCTTCCTGCTCCTCTGATGCTGCTTGGCCTGCTGTGTTCATCCAGGTCTACACCTTGTTATCTCAGATTCTCCAGCATCGGTAGTTCTTACTATCTCAGAGTTGTAGATGTGCTTAGGTTTGAGACAGTTGGTAGGTGAGAGGAGGTATGGCCAGAGGTATAGTGGAATGGTTGATATTGGAGGTAATCGAGGAATAAGAAAGGATGTTTTCAACAGCAAATGGGCTGAGGTCAAGTTTTGGGGCATGCGATGCTACAGAGTTGGAAATCAGGCAAACTTACTAGGAACCCGATTGATGGCTTTCAGTGGTCGCAGGACTCGAACGGTTCGGATTGCAGATAGGCTGACATTCTGCAGGTCCAGCGAATACTCCACTATTCTGTGAGAGACAGGGCAAGACACAACATTAACACAAAGCGGAGAGGTTCCTTCACAGCCAAGCAGTTGCATTTGTATAGCACCTTTCACAACCACAGGACATTCCAAAGCATGTTGCAGCCCACAAAGTACCTTTGTAGTGCAGACACAGACACTGATACAGAATGTACATTTTCTACACAGCTAGATCCCACAAGGGGTAATGCAATAAAGGGCTAAAAACTGAAAGTGCTGGAGAAACTCAGCAGCTCAGGCAGTATCTGTGGAGAGAGAGAGAGATGTGTCAAGTCCAGCTTTCTGACTTTTCTTCACAGGCTCTCCTCCTTCGAAGAGTTAATGGACCCAGAGCGTTAATGGTGTTTCTCTTGCTCTGGATGCTGGCAGGCCTGCTGAGTCTCTCCATCACTATCCGTGTTTATTTTGGATTTCTAGCAAATGCAGTATTTTGTTTCATACTTTAATGCCACGAAGGGCTTGCAGTGCGCTGCCTAAAATTGTTTAAACAATAACTTTGTACAATTTTGCCCTTTACACATCCCACCCTGGCTTCAATTTCTCACAGTTACCAAGTGTCACTGCATTTCAGCTCTCTTTCTGCACGAGAATGTAATAGCATCGAGCCAAATAGTCCCCTTCGACTCCCAACTTCCTTCTCAACTCAAAAACACAGTGAATTATCCCCTGAACTCCTTGCTTCAATCAGCATCCACACTAACATGCCCTAAGTCTGAGCTGAGGTTTCTCAAACTGTGGGCCATAGCTTCCCTGGGGTGGCATGGTGGCTCAGTGGTTAGTACTGCTGCCTCACAGCAGCAGGGACCCAGGTTCAGTTCCAGCCTTGGGTAACTGTCTGTGTGGAGTTTACACATTCTCTCCTGTATCGTGTTGGTTTGCTCTGGTTTCCTCCCAAAGCACCAAGATGTGTGGGTTAAGGTGGATTGGCCTTGCTACATTGCCCATAGTGTCAAGGGAAGTGCAAGCTGGGTCAGTTAGCCATGGTAAATGCTGGGGGACACAGGGGTGGGTCTGGGTGGGATGTTCTTTGGATAGTTGGTGTGGACTTGATGGGTCAAATGGTCTGCTTTCACACTGTTAGGGATTCTATGCCACACCCACCACTTAATTGGGTTTGTGAGCTCTCAAATGTAAACAGCTGTGTGACCCTTGTACATCCTTGCTGAATACAACGATCCTGGTCGAACTGCCTGATCTTTGAGGCTTTATCTTTTTGACAAATCCTGTAAACAGATCAGGGCTTTTCTCTGAATGGCCCCTCCCTGCTCTCTCGCCTCCAGCCCTTCTCCTGCTCTTACTGCCCTGGAATGGCATCAGTACCCAAACGTCGAAACAGGGTTTGGGGATTAACTCTTACTCTTACAGTACAAATCAGCTTCCTCCCCAACCCCTCAAAAATTCCAGCACAGGAATATTAAAAAAAAACTAGGAGCAGGCAATTCAGCCCTTCAAGTCTGTTCCACCATTCAATATGATCATGGCTGCTCTGATTTTAACCTCAACTCTACATTCCTGCATATCCCCCGATAATCTTCCGTCCCCTTGGTCATCAAGAATCTATCTCCCTCTGCCTTCAAAATATTTAAAGATTCTGCACCCACCGCCCAACATCTGAGGTAACATCAGAGCCTGAGTTTTTGTTCATCTCTCTTTCAGGCGAACAGAAAAATACCACGATACTATTCAAAGACCAGTAGGGGAGTAATTCACTCAGAGATAGTAAGAACTGCCGATGTTGGAGTCAGAGATAACACAGTGTGGAGCTGAAGGAACACAGCAGGCCAGGCAGTGTCAGAGAAGCAGTTCCTCTGATGCTGCCTGTCCTGCTGTGTTCCTCCAGCTCCACATTGTGTTATACCAGTAGGGAGTGCTGTCCAAGCTAGGGGATCATGAACCAAGGTGACCGACAGGTCATCATATTGTTGCTTGCAGCAGCTTTGGAAGATTGATGGGATTTCAAACAGTGTATCATTGGCAGCAGGATGCTTTGGGATGTTGTGAGGTGGTGAAAGGTGCTACGGAAATGAATACTCTTCATTTCTTGAAATGTACAAATTACCTAGCTACGTTGGAATGTGGATGCAGCTCAGTTCCATCAGAAGCCTGGAAGCAGACCATTGGTCCATCGAGTCCACACTGACCCTTCTAAGAGTATCCCACCCAGATCCACCCTCTACCCTATCCCTGTAACCCTGCATTTCCCATGGCTAACCCACCTAGCCCACACATCCCTGGACGCTATGGGGCAATTTAGCATGGCCAATCCACCTAGCCTGCACATCTTTGGACTGTGGGAGGAAACCGGAGCACCCAGAGGAAACCCACACAGACATTCGCCAGAGGGTGGAATTGAACCCAGGTCCCTGGCGCTGTGAAGGAGCAGTGCATAGAGTCATAGAGTTGTACAGCATGGAAACAGACCCTTCAGTCCAACTCGTCTGTACCGCCCAGATAAAATTATTGTAGAAAAGCAGATTCTGTGATATCTCTGGGGATCAGCGTTCTACTGTGGCCATCACAGAGATACAGATGGAACCTTATCCTCAGTGTCAATTTCATCCTGAAACACATTCTGGTGGGATCGCTGTATTTTATTTGACCTGATGGGGAGAGGGGGAGTGATGGGGGAAGAGGGTAGCGGAGGCATTTAAACCACAGTCAGTCTCTCAGCATTTCCACTGCCATACAAATGAAGGCTTTTAGATTTCAGATCATGGACTGACCCCTCAAGGGAATGAGCAGCATCACAGTAACAGGGCCACAGGCATTCCAAACAAGGTCACCTTCAGCCTGGAGCAATGTATTTAGCTCGTGGTTACAGTCCCTGATCTATCAGACCCATTCAGATCTCAGAAACTGTTGGCTGCCCCAAGGATAGTAGACTGGCGACAATGCCCATTTTCCTCACTCTGCCATTAAACCTGCACGGAGTTGGTCAGGGGCAGTCACACTGTCCAGAGGGTATTGGATGACTGTATGGATAAAATCAAAGGGCAAGGGCATGGGGGAAAGAGCAGGAGACTGGCACTCGGTAATGATACTCATTGAATGAGCTAGTGCACGCAAGATGGGCTGACTGGCCTCCTTTATCGCTATAACTATTCTGTGCTTCTGTGCAGAAGACGCTATCTGCAGTGCCTAAAGACCTAAACAAAATGAAGCAACAGCAATGTTCAGGGTTTGCTAGACTACAGCAGGTTGTAAGGGACTGTAAAACCATAAGAAACAGAAACTGGAATAGGCCATTTGGCCTCTTGAGCCTGCTCTGTCATTCAATAGGATCATGGCTGACCCAACATTGCTCACATCCACTTTCCTGTCCTATCCCCATAACCCTTGATTCCCCGACTGATCAAGAATCTATCTGTCTCAGCCTTAAATAGATATTCCTGGAAAGGCTCAGCAGGTCTGGCAGCATCTGTGGAGAGAAATCAGAGTTAATGTTTCAGGCCAAATGACCCTTGCCCAGTCCTGAGGAAGGGTCACTTGACCCGATACGTTAACTTTGATTTCACTCCAGAGATCCTTCCAGACCTGCTGAGCCTTTCCAGCAATTTCTATTTTTGTCTCTGATTTACACCATTTGCAGTTCTTTCGGTTTTTATCTCAGCCTTAAACATACACAAAGACCCTGGCCCCACAGCTCTCTGTGGCAAGGAGTTCCAAAGATTCACAGCCCCCTGAGAGAAGAAATTCCTCTTCATCTCAGTGTCAATTGGCATCCCTTTATTCTGAGACTGTGCCCTCTGGTCCTAGACCCTCTCATGAGGGAAACATCCTCTCAGTGTTTACCCCATCAAGCCTTTTAAGAATCCAAATATTTCAATGAGATCACCTCTCAATCTTCTAAACTCCAGTGAGTAGAGTCCCAACCTGTTTAGTTTTCACTCATAAGACAATCCCTCCATACCAGAGATCATCCTAGTGAACTTTCTCTAGACTCCTTCCATTGAAATAATATCTTTTTTTAAACAAGGGACTAAAACTGCTCACGGTACTCTGGATGTGGTCTCACCAGCACCTTGTACAGTTGCACTAAGACTATCCCACTCATGGTCCAACTCCTTTGTAATAAAGACCATGAGCCTTCCTGATTTACCTGCTGCCCCTGCGTGGTAGCTTTCTGTGTTTCGGGTACAAGGGGCCCCAAGTCTCAAATTCTGAATTCACCCTTTGTTCAGACTAAATTGACAACAGTTGAGCCAGAGGTCTGAGGCCAGAATGCTGTCCATTGGCATGTCCTCAGGAAGAGGCAGAGATGGTGCTTAGCACCAACCTCTCTGGTCACCTCAAGACCCAGGTCATGCTGCTGGGAATACGTCCTTCAATCCTGCCTTAGTGACTGGGGGAGTTTAAAACTTCAATATAAAATACTCAGTCACGGTACCGTCACCTGAAAAAAAAATCTGCCCTATAAGAGCAGAGTACTGTGAATATTGAATAAAAACAGCGAATACTGGAGAAACTCAGCAGGTCTGGCAGTCTCTGTGGGAGACAGAAACAAAATAAATGTTCCACGTACAGATGGAAAAGGATGGATAGGGTGGAAAATGAATTTTTTTTTTACGCTGTTGACAAAATGGGAAGAGGAGCAAGTGGAACAGATAGTGAGCATAAAGGCAGTGGGGAGTGTTAATGGTAAAGAAGCGATAGAGGTTGGGTAAGTGTTAATAGCAGAAAATAGGTCAGCTCTACTCAAAGCAAACCAGACACTAGAAGGGAAGGGGGCATGATCAAAATGGTGGACAATGTTCTTGATCTGAAGCTGTTGAACTCAATGTTGAGTCCTGAAGGCTGTAAAGGGGAATGTGAGGAACAGTTCCTGTACCTTGCTTTGGTGTTCGCTGGAACACAGCAGCAGAAATGACAGCAGGGGAGCAAAATGGTGCAGTGAAATGAAATGGAGGGTTGGGGTAACCGTTGCAGACTGAGCAAAGGCACTCTCTAAAGCAGTCCTTCAGTGTACATTTGGTCTCGCCAAGGTAA